ACGTTGTCTCACTATAATTTAAATTTAGAATATGTATAATCACAGTATACGACAAAAAATAGTGTCAATTAGTCTAGTAAAGTATTATTTGTATTAATAATACAAGTATGGAATACTTACTTCACTTTTAAAATTGAAGTACAGTATACAGAAGTAAAATGTCATTCAAATAATAGTGAAAAGTAAGGTATATTTATAGTCATCGACATTATACTATATTATAACTTTGTAACTATTTTCACACAGAAATCTTACGGATAAATGCAAAAATTAAATTCTGGAGCAATAATACAGCGCTGAAATCGTGAAATGTTAAAAAAATATCCGAGTAAAAAAACTGTCAAAGCCGAAGGAAAAAAACCATTATTTCCCAAATTTTTTACCCTAAAATTCTAGAATTTTTCCATCGTTTACATCTCTACGATTGGACATCGATTAGACAAATAGACACAAGCCACTCATAGCGCTTGAGACTGTGGAAAGCCTCCAAGCACTCGTCTGCTGTGATTGGTGGTCGTCGATTTTAAAAAAGTAACGGAAAAGTAACGAAAAGTTACTTTTCAAGTAACGGTAACTGTAACGAGTTATTTTTAAAAATCGGTAACTAGTAACTGTAACTAGTTACTTTTTCTACTCGGTAACGAGTAACTGTAACTTGTTACTTTTAAATAGTAACTTTCCATTCCCTGTAATATTTTACATGTATTTGTACATTTTTATGTAGCGCGTATATTTAAATAAATGAGATACAAGTTATACCAATATGTCTCTTTCTCGATTCGAAGTGACGAAACCTCAATCTTATTAACCCGTACGGTTCACTAGATTGACCAAGAGATTCCTGTTCGTGCAAGTTTCTTTGAATCTTTCGATAATTATAAATTATACTACATTTTATTATTTTCCAAAATGAAGTTTCAATATTTATTCTAGAAAGTTGAAAGTATGTTATTAAATTTTTACAGATTTTTTGAACCATTTTGGGGCATGTTCGGATTCCCACCTGGGTGCTCCCCGGATGTTATGTCATCCTTGTTGTTTAATAAACATCAAATTGTACCTTGTATTGTAAGGGTTAATCAAAGGATGGCATTTTCAAGAACGGTAAAAAAAATATAAACTACATATAATGGATAAAAAAGATAGAGGGACAAAGCAGAGATTCTTTATATAATCTTTGCACCTTAAGATTTCAGTAATTTACTGAACTATTTAGAAGTTTATATCACGAGAGAAGAGATTTCAGCTAAAAAAATTGAACTAAATCCGTCATGAAGTAAAGAGAATTTTCATTAAATAGTAACAGTCTAGGAACGATAACTGTTCGTGAAACGCAACGCAAAACCGTAATACATTATGCATACTGTCTCAGGAGGTCTTATTACTCAACGTATTGTGCATCAGACGCCTGCCAAACTTTTCGAAACTCATAAAAAGCCACATGAGAAAGTAACATGAGAGCTATCTCGTGCATGTCTCGTTAATTAATTTATTCAATAATTTTATTTCCGTCCCATTCTCGCGGAATTTTTCGTTGCAAGAATGGAATTAGATATTGGAGCAAACACACGTAATGTTATAAAGGATAATTTTGAAGTAAGTGTAAAAAATTTAAGGGGATAATCCTTGTGTTATTTTATAAAGAAAAGATTCTCTGAACATATGTCCTAAAGTGCTTTGTTTTCAAAATACCTGATGTTAAAGTTGAGAAAAGGAATACGAAAATTTCGAAAGAAAACGCTTAGAGACATTTTAATCAACAAATTTGATGTGCCTACATATTAGGAATTATTTTCCAGTACCAATGAGAATGAATTTTTAGATTCATATGAGTCATAAAAGTACTTAAAAACAAGGCATTTTAGGACATATATATAAAATAGGATCTTTTCTTTTTAAAATAAACTAAAGAATACCTTTTTTACATTTACTTATGAATCACCCTATATTGACGTAATATATTTTTATCCTTCGGGTTTTTATTCTTTAAAACCGGCTACTGATTAATAATCATGTTGGGGTAAATCCTTACGGACCGACAAGATACAAGATCAAATAGTCCATGTGGGACAATATCCTTCCCTGAGTTTTACAAAACCTCATGCGTGTTTAGATATAACCTAGTTTTACGTCAAGCTTTTCAGTAAAAGAATTATTAATCTAAGAAAGAAAGGGAGAAGGGTGAGAGAGAGAGAGAGAGAGAGAGAGAGTGTAAGAGAGTTGACGATCGATACATGGGAAAAATTGAAAGAATCTTTTGATATTAAATTCCATTGAGAAATTTTTAATTAAATTTTTTATTAATTTTCAAAGTTCAGCATATATTTTACCAGTGTGAGGAAAAGGAATTAAAAAATCCTTTTCACAATTGTTTGATTTATCGAACGCACATAGATAATTTAACAAGTATAACAAAGAGAGGTAAACTTTTTTAAATCTATTTCATGTTCTCTTATTTATTGTGCTCCGTGATACATTCGCGGCAAACGCATGATATAAAAATCTCTTTGCAGTTTATAACCAATTTTCTAGTGCAATAAATATAGCCTTTGACAACGTCGAGTACGATCAACAAAACGTGGACTAAAAATTGATTGAAAGCACATACAAATATAATTTATAGATATCTCTGTGCTAATCGATGGGTTGCGCAACAGAAAAAAGCTATAGTACGTATGTATTTCATAATTGATTTTTCTTTGATTTATTTTACACCGATATCGCTGAATAATGAATTTATTTTTGCTGTACCAAATTTAATGAGGGAATAAAATTATTTAAATATAATTAACAATAAATTCAGATTAATGGAATCAATGAAACGCCATTCCTCATCTGCTCTATGTTTTTTTAGTCAGCATAAGTAAAAGTTGTGGTTTATTCTTCGATTTAAAATCCATTCGGAAGCGCAGAAACTTTTTCCATACCTAGAAATCAACGCGCAATAAAATGGAACACTTCTTCAGCATCGTTGGAGGAAAAGTTGGAGAACTGAAGGACATGTCTAATAATAAGATAAGGAGAGAGCGAAAAAAAATGCTTGATCAAAAAATAATCCAGACTGCAGAATTGTGTTGAAAAAAGTTTATTAAACATCTCTGCATAGTATCTATCTGTAAAGTCGATCAAATCTTATTCTATTTCGATATACATCTCGCAAGAAGAACTTTCGAATGTTTCTTGAATATCTCAAAAGAATATAGAACGTCGTGAGGTTCATTTTATTACTTATAATACAATTTGCATCTTTGCGCGAATAATTATTTTATAATGCTGCTAAGCTGCGATGTCCAGCTTATTATAATTATATAATTTACGCAATATTTTATATTTTCTTATGTAATATAACGAGCGCGATAGTTTTCTAAAGAGGGAGATATGTACTTATAAATCTTTCTAAATATTTCTAATAAATAAATAACGTATATTGCAATTAAAATATCATATAAAATTGATTAAAAAATGTATCGAAACAAACACAGTTATTCGATAAATGCATCGTTTAAAAAATCGTATCTTATTGCTGAAATATTCGTATATATATCATTTTCTAAATGTAACGAAACCCGATGTTTGATTAATAAAATATTGCTATACAGCGTTTCATTAATAAAATATTTCTTTAAAAAGTACGTTATACAAAAATACAATAGAGGTGAAGTAAATCTTTAAGAATGGTTGCGTTTCAACGAAATCGATGCGACGTTACGTAACACGGGTTTACACGAGAAACGCCTGCGTTTTCATGAACAGTAATACACTGAAGCGCTATCATATAAATATGAGAGAGCAGCAAGTACAACTTTGATGCGCCGTACGGACAAGTAATGTGGTTGTATACTTTACGCTATCATTTAAGGGTTATTCTTTGACATATCCATGAATCGTGTGCAACAGGTGTATCAAAAATATGCACGGAACATATGTGAACTATATATCATACAACACATTTCTATATGAATTCATGTTGAATAATGCATCTTATGAAAGATTCTTGAACACCACGCACCGGGCATTTCTCGAAGCGCGAAATTTCGCCATTTTCGCAGAAAACCATGCAAAATTGAATTAGACGCGGTTTATGCTGAAATTGCAATAAATGTAAAATATCTAATAACTAGGTACGCGCAATCATGAAATTTAAAACCGTCTCTCGAAATTAGTGTAAGTAACATAAATGAGCAGGCGTTAAGCAGAAATGGTATAATTGTGTTTGTTTTCCGCATAAAACTGTGTTTACTAGATAAATATACTTTATAGCTCCGGGTTAAGAGCTCGCCTGTGAAAGTGCCGAAAGCATTTTGTCATTTTTTTAATTCAAACGTATAAGATATTATCTCGTAAAATCAGGTTAATTATTAATTATTAATCTTTAGGGAACGGTATTTTTTACGCTATCGCGAATATTTATAGCGTTTTTATATTATTATTGTACTTAAAGGATAAGATAAGAAAAACTGCGATGCAAAAATACAATTTTTAATTTACGCCCATCACTTTGAAATATATTATTATTATTAAGAATATATTATCGATCATACGTAACGCTCTACTGACAAGTATTAATTTTAATAATTTTAAAAGTTCATTAAGGTATCTATAACACATTTGATAAATTAATTTCTTTTATACATGTAGAATTATTATATATCTATAAGATCTTTATTCTTTATTCGATTAAAATGTCTACAAAAGCATTAATTTTTTAAAATTATTAACCGCGCGATCAATTTGAATATAAAAATAATTCTCGACGCGAATTTGGAAAGACACAACACGGATTTTTATTCTTAATACAGATATTGGTTTTTATAATCTAACTGAAGCTATAAAAAAACGAGATCTGAGTTTCTGTTAGGCCAAAGATTTCGTATATAGAACATTGAGAATCACGTCACAGAACATTTGAAATCACGTCAACGTTTCACTTCAGTCAATCGTAAAGGAAGTGGAGATTGTCCACGCAGGAAGATCTCGATGAGCAATGAGACGGTCCGGCATGTGCGGGTTTCTTACCACTTGTGCGAGAAGCGATCTTGTCGACAGGCGGCCAGGATATTTTCAAAACAAAGTCTTCCTCCTCGCGAGGTTGGGACAGAGATACGTTCGGTCGTGCCGCCACGTCGCATAATCTACACGACTTATACTAGACACGATCTTCCTCCTCCAGCAACCGCACTACCTCTGAAATAATATTTCCTTATCGTGAAATGACGATAGTGTAATGAATAACAATCCGGATTTTACCAATATCTAAATAATCCGAGATAATTATTCGTTTATTCATTTGGATTTCCAGATAATCCAAATCTTGACGTTCTCGAATTTACGCGAATCTTTGAAATCTTTAATCTGAATTAGAACATGTTAAGTTATAAAAAATACTGTATATTTTTGTATTTTTTTGTAATCGGTATACGATAAAGATATATATTTAAAAATTATGTAAAATTTATTACCAGGTAAATTCGCAAATTTACATAGATTTCGAATTTCTCTTTCAATTAAAATTCAGATGTGATTGTTGTGATCTTTTGTAATCGCATAATAATTATTTCGAATAATAATTGCATAATTATTTCGGATAATTCAAGTTTTCAATTATCCGAATATTTACAGTTTTAGTGAAAACCATTTATTAAAATACATACCATTTTTCATACACATATACACACGTTTACACAAGTTAATATTTTGCACAGATAAAATAAAGATTACGATGAAATGCATACTTGGTGAATTTTTGAGGATAAAAATGGGACAATGTGCATTTATTCATCGAGAAAAAGAAAGGGAGAAAAAGAGAACCGTGTAGTATTATCTGTACAAAGTTCGGATAGAATATTTCGAGATAAGCAGCGCTTATAGCTTCTATGTGAAATTCAATCATTATTGCTCATTACGTTATATACAATCCGCTTAAGTATTATATCTATTGCTACATCAGTTATATATGGTATTCGAAATTTCGTTGTGGCGTTTAAATTCAAGATTACTACTAGTTCTTTTTAGAACTGGTAGTAATAACAGTGAATGAATTTTTCAAGTACATCAGTAATTTGAGATTCTAAACAGATGGCAAGTTTCAATCCGTAATTGGATATAACCATGTAATATAGAACTAATTTCAAAGCCAATATTCTTGTTTTTTTTCCTACAGAAACATTTTACTTTCATTTTTTTTGTAAAAATACTGAGGTAAAATTATTCTGTTACAATCTTAATATACTACTAAAAACAAACAGTTGATCGTAAAGCGTCATAAATGTTACTTAAATTTTATATGTCACACGTTGCAAAATATATCTCAAAGTATTAATACTATATTTTGCAACGTAAGAATCCAAATCTCAAAAATTAATGATTAATTCCACATACGAGTATTAGTTCAATATCGACTTCATAGAAATATTATATATATTTAAATATTATTTTTATTTTTTTGTATTATTCATGGAAGATCTGTTAAAATGATAAATCTAATAGCATTAAATCCTGCATCGTGCGACTTTGTATTTTATTGTCATTTTACTATTAGACACGCAGACCAAGAACATTTTCATGGGATGGATACAATAATTAAGCTTCGAACAAGTAGGAATTAGAGCAGGACTAATTGTTCATTCAAAAGTTTAGGGAAACGTACGGTATATGTATACGGTTAATGTAAACCGGTATCGTGGAAATTACATCGCGGGAACTCTAACGTGTACCACGAGTAGCTAGCGGATGTCTGCGGCGGACCATTATCGATCACGTTGATGCTTTAGTAAATTATTATTAACCAGACTAAATAAGAGGTAAATATTTGTTTTATTCATATTTTTTATATGTATCAGGCGTGAATAGAAATCATGATTTTAAAACAAATAAGAAATTCCCTAAAATCTCACGTGATAAAATGACAAAATCTTGAATGTGAAGACATCGTATAATACTATGATAATTCGATGAAATTCTGGCCGTTATGTATACACTGTATCGTATAATATCACGATATCATAATAGAATCTTGGAAATTTGGATTCGTGTTGCAACCAAATCTGGGAATATAATATAACGATAACAAAATGATCAATTTAGCAATGTAATGATACCTGATCTAGCGGCGAGAGACGCTTTGCCCAGGTACACTGTTGAGTCGTTTCCGCTTAATTCGCTGTTATTGCCAGCTTGTCCGGCATTTCCGGTGGCCGCCATTGCGATGTCGCTGTGTCTGCAACCTACCCTAAAATAAAATGCACGCCCGTTTACGCGAACGTTTATTTTCAGTTTAAAAGCGTTTGCACCAGACGTTAACTCGTGTGACTTTTTCCTTAAAAATCTTGTAATTGAATCAATATATCCTCTCTTTTCGCCGAGGTACTTTTAAAAATATTAATCCAAAGTTCATTAAACAGAGTACTAAGACTTTAATGCATATATTTTCGTATCTTATAATTTTAATTATGTTTTATGTTTAAAAGCATTTTATAGAACGAACTTCGCCACTTCACAATTTTTGTCTAAAAGCGAAAACGTGTTAGCAAGTTTGAAGCTTAAAAACGGCTGTTACGTAATTGTGAGTCTTTCTATCCGATTGCGGAAGCTCGACGTATCTTCCGCGAAATTAATCCTGCGCTCAGTCAGCCAACTGGTACAACTCGTAAAGAGAGCCGACTTGATGGTGAAGCTTCGCCTTACGTCGTGATAAATCCTTTTAAATCGCCACTGTAACGAAAAACGTATACGCACGGCTTCATCTAGATTTTACCTCCAACAGCGGTGGCAGTCGAAGAGCCCGAGGAATGCTTGGCGAAATTTTCTGTTCATGAAACAGTACGTGATGGGATTGCAGCAGCTCGAGACGTATGCCAACAATTGAACCAGGCTAATGCCGGTGCTACCGACGATCGAGTACACCAGTTCGGGTGAGAAAAGGTACCACGTATTGATTACGTGCAACGGTGCCCAGCACACGAAGAACTCGAGGACTATTACAAAGAGCATCCTGATTACCTGCAACACCAACGGTATTCGCGTTTAATGGACAAGTGACAAGCACAGTCACCTGTCTCAGGTGAACATGTTTCTAACTGGGTCTCATATTACATAAAGCGAGCGCAGCATTGTCTCGTATATTCCGGTACCACGAGTGTCGGCTCGCTTAAGCATGGCATGATCAACATCCCGTGTGGGCGAGATTAAATCGTCTTACGTGCAAATATATGGAAAATATTACGGTCTCTCTAAATATTATGCTCTGTATTTGCAAAGTAGGAATATAGGATTCTTTAGGAGGGAGTCGCGCACCAAGTGGATAATAAAAGGTTAATACAGCCGCACGAAGCGCTGATAAACATCTTGCGGCTTGGCGTGCACCGCTAGGCAACGCGTTTTTCCGACGCTTGCTCCAGATCCCACGATTTCGTAGAAACGAGAAACGCCGAACGGTACGGCGAGGGAACTTACAATGCGCGCTTTATATGCATGCAAGGCTCACACGTGATCTTGCATTAAATATTTGATACGGAAATTGTAGTTCGCTCTGCCGAGGGAGCAATTCAATTCGATCAATCAGGATTCTGTGTGTACCTTTTTTTTCGCCTCGATGCTCTTCGCCATGTAATTACTGCGTATCACGTGTTGTCTGGTGAGTGGACAAGGTGAGTCCTGCTGATCCTCGTTAGCGATATCCTTCGTGTCTCGCGTTAAGCAGCCACTTCCGTTCGCTCGTATTTGAATCCGGGATGCCTGAGACAAATCTGTACTGTGACACTTGCCAGTAAGCACCTTGGAGACTACTGTCCGTGGTAACCGCACCTTCTTTCGAAAAAGGAGGAAGAAGAACGCGATGTCTCGGTTAACCACTGCATACGCTCGGTCGGAATGTTCTCAAGACGGTAGATAGATTAATTTGCTATTCTAATTGCATAAATTTATCTGATGTCTAGCCGCGGGCCATTTTATTGGATCATGAAATCTCAATTAGCCAAGGAAAGTTAATGATGCACTTGGTTACTCTCGTGAATTACAATCGAAACCATAGTCTTGTTGTTAATTAATAAAGTGGTAACGAAAATAATAAAATTTAGTATTAATCTCGAAAATAATTACAATATTTATTAATACAAATATGTTTTAATGCATTTACTGAATGTCACGTTTAATTATGTATTTTAAGCTTTACAACGAATAAAATAGAATCCAATCACGCTAATCGTAATGTTGAATCTCATGAAGTATTGTATTTAAAATAAAAATATATCAAAAGAAAATGAAAATTTCATATTTTTAATTTATTTCTATCTTACTTTTTTATTTGATAAAAATTTCTATAATATTAAATTTCAGGCTTTTTGTGTATTAACAATTTTTATTAAAATATACGTTATGAAAAATAGTAAGAAGATAATTTTTATCGCTTTTCTATATTAGAATTCATTATTTAAATTCGAATCTTACAAGTCCAATGTTACGATTACAGAATTAAGAGAAAATAATATTACAGATCAAATAATTTAAGCAATTAATGCATTCGACTTCTGTCTTCGATTTTCATTACATAGATCATGATAATCGGAATTTCTATTCCATGGTGATGTTTGTTCAGTATTTTCTCACCCTAGATGGTACACCTTGAGAAGCGCCTTGGAAGTGTCTCGAGGAAGACGAGAAGCCGCGCCGCGATCTCGAAGTCGGGCCGCAAGCGTCAAATACCATTGTCGTCCTTCCATCTCGATCATTATTGTTGTTGTAACTCGTGCCTCGAATCGTTGCGTTAGATTCCATTCTCCCGACTGTAATTCATAATGTTTATTACTTTTGATCTTAATAATATAGACCAATATAAAAATAAAATGGCCAAAAAAATTTATTGATGTATCTCTCTTAAATTTTTCGTCCAATAGATTTTGTAATAAAAATTAGCATCAATAAAATGAAATTGATATAGTAGCAGCTTTGGAAAATATTTTTCCAAGACCCTCACGATGCCGACGCAGCACGATTCGACGCGCGAAAATTGATACTGTCATATCTACGTCCCATATATCAAAGCGACACTTCACTTACGTCTTCTGGTACATGTCGATGATTGTCGGATCTCGAGCTTCAAGCCACGCCAAAGTTTTATTGCTATCAATGAGTAAGCCAAACTCATAAGCAGCAACGGTATCAGAAGCAGTGTACCGTCTAGAAAGAGATTGTAAGCTCTTTCGGCGCCGACGCTCGGCCATTCCTCGCGACACTTACGCCTTCCTAAAATTGCCACATGATGCGAAAAAGTTCTTTAACCGTTCGACCATAAAACACGTAGAGAGTTCTGGTATAACTAACAAGAGAAGAGAGATCGTATTACCGCTTCATCTACATTTTCTCAACGCAGAATAACTACACGATTAAAATAAGGATCTAATTCCGTATTTCTTTGCGCGAAAAACTTAGATGTAACCATTATTTAAAGTCGTTAATAAAAACTAGATATTTATTTGTTCATAATTTATAAGCTTTATTAACAAATAAAAAGTTACTTTCTTTTTACCGTGATAAATTATATGTGAGACTTATGTTCACTAAAACATCAATAATGCACATCTTGTTTTATTCAATATAATTCTTTTATGTATATACATATACATATATATGTGTATATACATATATATATACACACACTTAATTGATAATATATCTACATTGCTATGCAATTGACTTTCATTGCTTTATCAAGCTCAGCAAGTCACATATGGTATCGATTACATTGATATTGCTGCGCAGTTGATTTACAATATCTCAATATTAAGTTCGAGAAACGTCAAAGCAAGTGATTAGCATTGCAAGAGTTTCATCATAACATAAGCATCTATATTGCTAGTTATAACTGTAGTCGTATTCTATTACGTATTATTTGATTAATTAAATTAGGTTAAAAATAATAATAGCAAGTGGGCGTTATTAATTAGATTTTTTATTTTAGAGAAGCAATATTCTATAGGGAGATTGGGATCGGTTGTCATACATTTTGTGTGTGTGTGTGTGTGTGTGTGTGTGTGTATGTGAATAATAATTTTTTATAAGAAAAAATGGATGTAAGATTTTGAAATACTATATGTATGTACAGGATGTAAGATTTTGAAATACTATATGTATGTACAGGATGTCCCATAACTCTTAATTAATATTTCTAAGAGTGAAAGAGGATGGAATTTTGAACTAAAAGTTCCTTTGCCAATTTTGGCTCAGACCATTATTTACCGAATTATTAACGATTAAAATTGATATATGTATATATCAATTAGATTGCGCCCATACAACAATTTAATATTATATTAGCAATCTGCAATAAAAAGAAGAGAATGCTCTACTGAATATACTAATTGAGTTATTAGCTTTTTAATAATCAACCTCGTATGACAACCGGCTCCGGTCTTCCCCAATTCAATAATAAATTTCTACGTAGCAAATAAATTTTGAATGGCCACTAAATAAATATGGTCAATCAATATGTAATATAAAACAAATTGCTAGTAATAATTATTTATTGTTCGTTATTTTATTTAAAATATTAAAAATATTTTTCATTTTAACTAAGAAGTGTCTACCATAACAAAAATTCATCGTGCAAAGCCTAATTTCTTTTAGAATAGATGTTCGATGTTGTTGAGAATTCAATATGCCAGTAGTTGAATATTATGTATATGCATAAGCTGCCGGTGAAAGAAATTCTCAGAGGAAGGCCGGGGTGGATATTGGTATAGAATTGAGATGAAAATGTCAACACGACTGTTAAAGCTTCCGTTTCAATCTAGCAAGCAATTGTAACAAATAAATTGCTACAAATACTGTAAATGTTACATTAAAATACATATTCGCAAATATATATTTCGTGACGTTCAAATATTTGCAAATTGTGTACCTATTAATTGATAGTTATTCACGAATCAATTAATAAGAAAAACGAAAATAATTTAGTTGTTAATTTTGAAATGCAAAATCATTTAATTACTTATTATATATTTGTCAGTTATTGCTCTTTTTTTATATTATTTACTTATTATATATTTATCAGTTATTGCTTTTTATTTTATCTAAAAATGAGGTAATTTTATAATGTGGATATTTTCTTACCTCCGCTTAAGCTCTTTAATTGAGACACGATGAGAATTGGTACGTTCCATGTGAGACTGAGAGTCCATACAACAGCAATCATTTTGTAAGCGTGAAACTGTGTTTGCCATCGTCTCGATTTTAATGGTCGGCAAATGGCAAAGTAGCGTTCGAGCGAAATGGCAACCAGCGTCCAGACACCCACCGACACTGACACGGCTGGAAAAAGCGTATCATTTAAATCGCATTGCGTTTTATCGTGCAGACATATTACCTGTTTTTGTGGATGTAGGACTTTTTTGTTTTTAATATTGCCATTTTTTGCAAAATTTGAGTCTGTCTATCTCAAGCAATAAAAAATTAATACGACTTTTACGTGATACCAAGTATCGACAGCCGATCGAGAGAGATTTGTAATATATACTTTTTTTCATATGGTTCAGCTTGAAATTAAAAATACATCGATAAATTTAACTGTCTCGGAATATACATATAAGAAAGAAATATATTTTCCATTTTCTTTCGATGTAGGACAACATCAAACTAACTGTGAGAACACGTCCGATTGTTAGCAAAAACATATCAATTGTCGATGATGGAAAGGAGTTCGACATTCAATAATAGAATCGGAGGGTTGGAGCTAACTGTCTGGACCACTGGTGTACGTTGCAAAAAACGAACGCACGTGACATGCACTTCTGCAGAGAACCGCATTTACTTCGATCCACTTTCTTCTCTCCTATCAATCGTACAAAGGAATGGAGAGGTTTCGACTTAAAAGTGTTACCAAACAATTTTCACGACCTACAGTTTAAAGTACACAGATGAATGGAGCAAGAGAGAACTTTATGAAAAATGTTCTCGATGACCTCTAATCCAATTACGATATCCTTTCGCGGCCGCGACCTACTTACAAAATATTTCATGTCAAGGTTATTAAAAGGAAATTCTCATCAGCATGATAGACTACAGAGATTTTATTGAATATCCTTCACCTAATTGAAAAATCCGTTATTCGTTTATTGCAATTTAATCCGATTGTGCAACATCACCACGAAAGTGAATAGTACCATTGTGTGAAAGAATAAAATTCAAATACGTATTAAATTGAAATTTAAAGCGCTTACGTTTATATAGATCTCTGTTTCTGACACACTAGTTTTTCAACATATTTTTTGGCTAATTTCTATTTAGCTTCTTCCTAGTAAAAATGTTGAAGAAAGTTATCTTTTATCATAGTTTTGTAATTTTTTATAAATTTATATAAATACATTTTAAAGTTAAAAAAAAATTTTATTAAATCTTATTTAAAATTAATTAGAATTTTGTTATTTATTATATTTCGTTCTTTAAAGTTTAATTTACCACAATCCTTTTTTTTTAGTGCATATTCGTTACTATCGCTAAGGAAGATCTATTTCGATTTACTAAGGAATCTGTTGTTAAAAGATAAAATGGGATACTGTATGATTGGACTGTGTATAGCAGTCTACCCACGTTGTAATTATTTTTAATTTTAAAGACGCTCGTTCTGCCCACGTTCTAATAATTTTTAATTTTAAGGACGCGCGTTGCAATATATGTATAGGTATCTATTTTTGAGAAGATACAATTACTTCACTTGACAAAGATTTTTTATTCATTCAGTACATCTAACGTCATTAAAATATGCTTACGTTTTCATTTAATTGAGAATTATTCATTCAATCATTCAAACAATTGTGGTTTTCATTAAAACATTTTTTCGTATTTCTGTCTAGTACCGTACAGTAATTTGTGTTACTGCGTCTTTAATTACGACATTTTTAATTATGGAATTTTATGAATAATTATTTCCTACTTTTTATACTATTAAATTAAGAAAAAAATTTCATGATTATTCATTAAAAGATAGACAAACAAAAACGTGACTATATTGTGAGTTAATTTACTTTAACTATAGCAAAAGAATTAATTATATACTTTGACAGAATAGAGTATGTAAGGAATTTATCCGAAAGATAATTTGCGCAGAATAGCGACAGTCGAAAAGATAACAAAATTAACACATATTCATTGTGCTGTCTTGTTACGTTGATTGTTCTTTCAAGAAGAAACCGTCTTTTATGAATTATCTATTTTAAAAATGAAAATATAGAAGTAGTATTTTTGTTATTTTTAAAATACCAAATATTTAAGGACAATGATTGTTCTTTGACGTTGGTATTAACTGTTTTTTAAACATTATTTCATATGTCATTTATTTTAGTAATTAAATTAAAATTTTATTACATTTAGATGTTATAATTAATAATTAAAACTTTCGTGCTGCTTTAGAAGTTTTAAACTAATTATCTTGCACAAATTCACCTAGTCGCTAGTTTTGATACATCGCAGAAAACTGAAATTCTTCGTCACTTTCGTCTTTATTGATATAAACTGCGAGAAAACACGCCACATAAGATCAACGGACATACTAGGTGACTAAATCGAGAAAGACGTAAACCTTTTGAACATCGAGTAGAACATCGTTCTAGAGTACCAATATGTTCCATAAATTTCTGCTGTTCTTCTTGAATATATTTCTTCGTATGCCTTCATATAGTAAGATGAAAGTGCATCTATTCATCCTAATACGCTTGTGACCTTTGCCACCAGGGGTTCCATTCAGACCGCACCTCCGTTTCAAAGCCGGAAGAAAAACGCGACAAAAATATCTTAATTTTTTTTCGTAGCAAAACACCATCGAGAACATCTGCTGTCACTTTTATTGCGATAGCAGGGCATAGTGATAGAAGAAATTACAGCATTCGTCACTTTTGCGTAACATCGTAATAAGTATTGTAATAACTTACATCTCAAACACGTGTCGTTTCAGCCGAGCCGATCACGTTCTTACAAAAATTTGCATAAAGACCTTTGGATTTCGTGTTACCAACGCATATTAATCGACGTTATTAATGTACGAATTAATACGACTGCGGCACGGAGCTTGCTCATTATGTGAAAATAGTACACGTAAAATATGGAAATACTTCACGAACGGTTTCGTTACACTACGCTTCTATACATTATACTGCTTTATTTGTAAAAGGTCGCCGTTAAAATCTCTTTGTTTTATATATGAGTGAAAAGCGGAACGTTGCGAATTGGGTCGTTTCTAGACAGGATTGGCCACATATAATCCGTTACAATGGAGGAAAAAGAGAGAGAGAGAGAGAGAGAGGGGGACGGAAGGGGGAGAGAGAGATGATTATATCCTATGCTTACGCTGTGACGATAAAAATGTCTTGAGAAAAGGAATATCTACGATATGACGAAAAACGTTCATGCGATTTCAATTTAAAGGCAGATTTTCGTCGAAAGAGATTATCCTATATATAACGTAACATATCGTGTGTGTGTGTGTGTGTGTGTGTGTGTGTGTGTGTGTGTGTGTGTGTGTGTCCTCAAAAATCCACGATTTTTTTTGTATGAACATTCTATTGAAAAAGAATTTACAATCCACAGAGGAATAAAATTTTTTATAAAATAGTGATACAGCGACAACTTTTGTATTTTTGATTCTGTTATTTATTTCTCCTAAATCATATCTCAAATATAAATTGTATCTAATATTCAAGTTAGTGTTAATGTTAGTACGAAAAGTTACGATTTGCGATATACAGTTTTATAGCTGCAATCGTACCGTATGATTTAAAAATCCAATATACAATAAAGATCAGAAGGAAAATACAAAAAATAAGCGGCAGATGTAAAATATTGACAGAAAATATTAAATTCAACCAAACAGTACTGAACATTTCAATGGACCATATCTCTTATCTCACACCTGATTCCATCTGAATATCGATCGAGAGCATAAAACAAAACTTAATAGCGCGTTATATGCACCTGAAGAAGCGTCCCACGAGCGTAATAAAAGTTCGCGTGATCGTCGAAGTACGCACGATCGTTTTCCTTTATCGGGAAACATTCGAGACGCGATTTTACGGGAACAATATCATCGGTGGTGGCTAAATTCCACGAACGCGAACGCAACGGTTATAATACGCACCAGATATGCGTACGCACCGGAATTGTCTCTTTTGGAGCGATATCTCCCCACGACGGGAATTCGACTTCGAGTCCGCTGGCGCACATTAGTCATTCTCGTGGAACAACATAATTCCACAATATCCTATTGCCAAGCTCTTTAATACGTGGGAGTAATATTCAACGAGATTTAAATGAATCAGTATTTTGTGATACAAAATATATAAATAAAGTTTCTCTCAATATACAAGTAAACTTTTTTTTAATTTTCGGTGCTTCTAAGATTTGACAATTTATTTTAAGGACATACAACTCTCGTTATTTTGTAAATTAAATTATACATGGACTAATAAATGAGAATAGTTTATTATTGTAATCAATCGATATGTGGAAATATTTAAATATTTTAATAACCGATATATGTACCTCGGTTATATTATGATATCATTTTCACAGATATATGATACTCCGAAGAGTAATCCATATGAAAGATAAATAATCAATAATTAATCAGTACTTTAATATTTGTGTATTATATAAAAGAGAATACTGCTTTACCGCTAGAATTTGTGCAAATATATCAATTATATGAGATAGAAAATACATATTACAAATGAAAACAAGAAATTTTTCGGAAGGCAAGAAAAATATTTTCAAATTTTTTTATTTTATATTTTTGATAGACTATTATCAATAATTAGTTACCACCTCACAGATAAATTATGTTATCATGTAGTATACACACACACGGAGAAATTATTATATATACAGGTACGTATTTACTACTCACATATGTGAACTACATTGCAACTTGGAGCATTAGATCATTGCAGTCACTTGTATATGCATTGCGCAATGGTAATTTGCTGCTCGCTTAACAAATATATCACATCTGACAACAACAGGCTTTTTGAGCGTCGCGTTGATAGCAGATTGATCATCATATCAAAAATCTGGTGGCTTGAAAACGCGTATTTACATAAAATATTAAATAGGTTTAAATTATCATATACATATATTAAAGAAGTCAGGTGCATTTAAGAATAAATTATATTCGCTTAAATAATAAATAACTTATATAATATTTGCCTCGGTAGTCTAAAGGCTTAGGACGCTCGCACGGAATGCAAGAGATCCGGGTTCGACTTCCGGCCGAGGCATATTTTTCGCAATAAGTTTATTACAGTTTTTAAGTTGGGAAATTTGGGGGGATTATTAATATTTTCAGATTTGATTGCGTTGAAAGTCCGACAACCATATCGGCACGCAATTATCATTTCTGAAATTAATTCATTTAAATGAATTTACAATAGTTCAACATCTTAACGTTCTGACCGTTATGGCGCTTCTTAATTTAAATTATTATGTTTAACATTAGCGGTATTTCAATCTTATTATTGTTTATATAATATTTATTATTTAATATACTTGATAATAACCTATTTAAGATGTAAAGAATAACTTATATTTGTGTAATTAATTTAATCAGCCTTAATAAATTGATGATTGCATGATTGTAATTCAATTTTTAAAGTATATGAAATTTTACTAGTACTCCATGCATCATGCCATTACTCGGAAATCTTATTACGCATCGTCGAGAGTAACAAAGACTCGGTGGACGAGAATGTTTCTCTAATGGTGTCGCATTTTATCTAGCATTACCCTCTTTTCTTTCGATATGTGATCTTAAAATTGCATATAGTAGAAGCGATTTTCGTAAAAGCTCGGATACGAACTAGGTGTACTTTGACAACTGACTTATCAAAGTACCATGTATCTGTATACATTGCTATACTTTCAGGCGGAAATTCAATGTCAATGAAGATTTATGTCCCTGCGAACATTGAGGAATGACGAATTTAGATCACGACAGATATTTGAAATGAAAGAGACACATGAATGTTATAATATACTTATAATCTCTTAATCAATATATAACACAATTTTTATTTACTAGAAATTATTAAAAAATTATATTATGCGTATGTATACACATGTATATAACTTAGAAGAAAAAAGAAGAATTTTTTGCGAAATACATTTACTAAAAATTAAAATTGATAATTTGTCTAGAAAAAGTTAATTTGGATAAAGAAAAATTAAATTGACGTAGGTATTTTATTTTGCAAGTAAATGACAACACGGTGTGTTCTATCGCGTGATCATCTGAGCAATTAATCCTTAATTCAATATTAAAGAGCTTCGGTGAAATAAAATAGAAGTTGTGTGCGGCGTAAAGTGTACAGTCTTAACTTGTACTCGATACCATTAATATTTCTCTCTCTTTAATAGAAACAGACGAAAAGAAAAAACATAAATAAATTACGGAAGCGAATCTTTCGATTTTTCTCTCGCAGTCTTCCGCAGATTAAACCAAACCAAAGAAAACAAGCTATTCGCAGAAGACTAATTGGAAATTAAATTGGGGAATACATAGAAATTTATTTGTAGTAGCAGGTGTGTTCAATTTCATGATAACGGCGCGAACTGCTGTTCACATAATCGATACAGTCATCGCTAGATTGAGAACATCTTGAACAATGAATAGTTCATTCTGCGTGTTAATTTACACGAGCGAAGAAATTAACTTTTTACCAGCATTCTAATACATTTGCTTTTTTGTTATCTTTATTATTTATGATTATTATTTACAAATGCGCGTATGTGTATATAATATATATATATATACTATACATATATTTTATAAAATATATAGATATATATGTATTTTATTTACATTTCTTTATAAAAGTACTTTTGTAATTATAAATTAAGCACGACAATTATTATAACAAAAGTATGACTGTATTTTTTAATAAAAAATAAAATGGCTATTAAATTACTGGCGTGCTAGATTTCGCGTAATATGCATCTCTTTTATGAGAAAATGCTCGTAATTACACCACTATTGTAACACTTATGCTAATATTTGTGCATAATAAAATTATGAATTTATATATTAAAATTAACTAGACTCCACTTTAAAATGCAATTCAAAATTCTAAAAATGTTTACGCAAAGATTAATAAAATTTTATTTTCATTGATAAACCAAACATATATTTATGCTTGGATTATCAATGAAAATGAAATTTACATAGATACCTATATATATAAATTTTTTATTCTTTTTATGACGGTGTATTCACATTTTTCGAAAATGTCAAACTTTTTAATTTATCCCCGCCCGCAGGAGTTGTTTCGACCGCTAAATCTTGAAATAAGCAACAAAAAATTGTGGATCTAATATTTTTGGATGCTTTATATCTAAAATCTATTAAAATCGGTGAGGAATAGTTACCATGGTTCCCTTTTGTAGGAACTAAAAAATATGTCAAGGGGCAGCTTTAGCTCCATATAAACTTTGAATAAATAATTATCAGCTTACCAAGTAAATTAGCGGATTACCAATTTAGTGTCTTCAGCATCACTTAAAGTAGCAAAGTAACGATTTAATACATTTCTTAGAACATAAATCTTTTGTTACTACTTTAACATGTTGACATGATTTAGGACAATTACTTTTATTTACTTGGTAATCCTCTACTTAGTAAATTTTCTACAGCTTGTTTTGTAGAATATGGTATCTGAAAGAATAAGCGATAAACATCATTTTCGTGATTTTCACGATGCCGTATACGCGTACAGGGTTTCGCGAAAATTCTTTTATCTCTACAACGACGAGATGATGGGGCAAAAATTGGAGTTCATTTCATCAATAATATCCAATTTTTATGTTATCCTGAAAACAATGAACGATGCTTACCTTGAAAATACGGTATTAGTTTGCACATTGTGAGACCGAAAACGAAATTCTTGAGAATTTGCCCCAGGAGAGTGAAGGGCATGCAGAATACACCGAGCAAAAGATCCGATACAGCCTGAAACAAAGATCGGTAATAATTTGGTTAATTGTGTTTCCAGTTCACAAAAAATAAAAAATATTAGCGATCCGAACTGTTAAACGTAGACAGTTGTACTTGCAAGATGATCAAAATATAATCAATAATTTATAGCAAAATTTATTTCTCTAGATTTCATTTTGAAGAAGTGCAAAAACCATTATACGAGACGTTCAAACATCTTAGTCTAAAGTATGGTGGAAATAAATAACCTTATCGTTTCTTCATTCGTGTACTTTCTCGACTAGTGAGGCTACAAATAAAGGTCGTTCCAAGTCCAGGTCGATCGATCATCAGTAAACAATAAGAAAGTGACTTTCAACGACACGATAAATTGGATGCTGGAAATTTTCAATTTTACTCGTAACCCGAAGGTTCAAGATTTGTTTGCATATTTTTAAATAATTGTTATACATTATATATATATACGTCTTTTTTGTTTATACGTACATGAAAATTAATATAACACGTGTCGCAATAAATAGTTTTTGTCTTCCAAAGAAAACATTTTTTCGTAACAAGACTTTTAATTAAACTAAAGTCCTGTCTGATCTTGGAAAGCGCAGGAGAAGGAGAATTCTTATTTTTCTTTTATGCAACGTTTACTGATCTAATTTTAACAACGAAGGTTTTTACTTTAGACACGTGACATAGTTTGTAAAAAAAAATTTAAATAAGTAACTAAAACTACAAAGATCTTTGGAAGTAGACAGAGAGGATAAAAATAAGAAAATGAAAACTGTTACTAATGTGCCAAAAACAAGTTCTATAAGAATTGTATTGGATCAATATTGTTATTACGCAACCATGACTTTATTAAATATTATTAGGTAGCTGAGTTTTCATTCAGTACTGTTTGATGTTATGTTCGAACTAAATAACATGTAAAATTAATGTATAAAATAGTATTTAAAAATTGATATTTTTATAAAGATATATACATCAGAATATACAATATGGTAGAAAGCAATAGCATATCTGAAATAATTATTTCAGCATTACTAGCGATTTAAAATTTACACATTTTTATCTAATATTTCTTGGAAGGATCCCATTTGCCTACAAAACGATTGTCTACAGCTTCGTTTGCACACAGCAATATTGCACACACGACAATATTGTACACAGTGTACTGCACACATAATGTTATTGGCTTAGTTTACATCGTGCACTTGATACAAGTGCAACTGATCAATAGCGTCATGTGTTCACTCCATTGGTTCACTCCATGATTTTACTCCAAGGAACCTATATCGAATTACTACATCGTCCCAGGCTTGCAACTGTTAATGCTTATTGATTGTCGCTAATTAACGATAGACAATTGTGGATAAAACGTTTAGAGAATCCCGCAACTGTTCTTTTTGAATATTTCCACCAGTTTATTTTTCTTCTTCTTCTTTCTTCCTAAAGAAAAAAGGAAGAAAGATGAACTGACGCACTCAGCTAAAAAGAACAGGCCTAATGTTACGCGGTTTTACATCAATTAGGCATGTGTGTAGTGGTGCCAGATTGGTGCCAGATTCTCGCTTACGCTACCACTTGAGGTGCGTTCTACCTAACGTTCGCAACGCTCAGATCGCTCTTCGTGTCGTTCCACTTAATGCTCGCGATGTCCATCGGGCAGTGCTTGTGACTAAGGCAGCTTTCCCATGGAGGAAGAAACGAAACGGAATATTGGCAGAAAAAAGATAGGATAAAGGTTATTCCATCTTTTCTGTCAATATTCCGTTCCGTGATTTCTTTCTCCATGGGAAGGCAGCCTAACTTCAGGCCGTTCAAATGAATGCCGCTCGTAATGTTCGCGCTAAAGAGGTGGGTCGACGTGAGCGTTTAACCCATAATGCATTATGTTTGATAATTTCGCGCGTTCACACCAGGAATTACGCCCAGGCAACTTTAAGCTATAGATTATGTTACGTATATTATAGCAAAAATGCACCCTAGAGTTATCTAGGCGTAATTCCTGAACGTAGCCCAATGGATGTAAAGTTAGAGGTTAATTTAGTCGTAATTGCGGTTTGCGAAATCGGTTATTGTGACCCAGTTAAAATGGAAAAGATTTCATTATATGATAAAGACAATAATCTGGAGACTCCGTAGTATCTCGACGCTAAGCCAAGCGCAGTGACATTGTCATGCCTCCTTTACGCGAATCAGCGATAAAATATATGATACGTAATGTTATGACTATCTCCTGAAGATGCACATCGTGCTGTTACAGGTAAGATAAAAAATTATTAATTGAACAATTGTTACGATAGCAGATAATGTTACGATAATTGTTACGATTATACTTCTTCAAATTAAATATTTCCTTAAAGAAAGTTTATTCATAATTAATCCTTCTCTACTATTTTTGGGTTACATCCAACAAGTTCCGTTCTCTAATGCTTCTGCATATGCATGGGTAAAACACATCTTGCAGTGCCTTCGTATCTTTTCAAAGTCCTTTCAAGACCTACGAAAACACAGGACGATATGTTTCACCCGCGCATATGCAGAAGCATTAGAAAACTGAATTTGTCGGATTCAACCCAAGAGTAGAGAAAGGTTAAAGTAATAGAGAAGGCTTAATAATTCCATGATTTTGTGTTTTAATAATTATATATTTTATTCCAATAGTTTTTTATGTAATTTAATTTATGATAATAAATCTTTCTAATTTTGTGTAGATATCGTTTTTACTACTACTCTTTTAAATGCAGCCATTATAGATAAAACTATTACGGATCAAAATAAGGAAGTGTCAGAGGACTTAAGGGGGTAGTCTGCTTTACAAGGTCAAAAAAATCGATTTTTTTTTTATTGCTTAAATGGATAGATAAACTATCCAAGAATATATTCTCAAAAGAATAAATTCCTATTCAAAGTATTTGTGACGATATAAGGCCGAGAGCAGATAGACGCGGAGCGCGCCGCGGCAAATACCGGTCTGCTCCGAGCGCGCACCCGTCCCTCGATCCCCTTACCTGAAATATGGCTTTTCAAAACAATACTTAGGAGCCGAACAAATTCATCTTCATGAATACTACGAGGAAGCTGAA